AAAAAAACAACTCTAAGAATATTTTTTAATGTACTGATCTAATATATTTTATTGCTATTTATTTCTAGAACAGGGTAAGCAGTTTTCTCACAGCATTATTATCTGAACAGTATTTATAAAAATTAAGATAGTTTTAAAAATCTTTTATAACATAAAATTTTAAGGGAACAAACAGCATTTAACAGTTAAATATTTAACAAGTTATTTTTGCTGAAAACAACGAGCTTCATAAAATTAGGAATCTTTTAGAAAATCTGTTTCATCTTTAGACATCAGAGATAGGTCAGTTAGCAGAATTCCCTTAGAATTCAGTATAATATGAAAACTTAATTCTAGAACAATAACATATGAGATCCACTCTACCTGTTCCGATGCTACCTACTATCAATCAGGCCTGAGTTGAAAAACTGGAGAAAGCATGATTACACAATACGGATTCTTGTGTCTCTAACAAAGTATGTAGCTTTGAGTTGAAACTGAAAAAAACTGCAGATAAACTAGTCACAGTGAAGCATACTTGTAATCCCAGCAATTTAGAGATTGTGGCAGGAGGATCCCAAATTCAATGCCAACCTCAGCCATTTAACAAGGCCCTAAACAACTTAGTGAGACCCTTTCTCAAGATAAAAATTTTAATAAAGGACTGGGGATGTGGCTCAGTGACTAAGCTCCCCTGGGTTCAATCCCTGGTTACACCCCCACCCCCCAAAAGCTACAGATTAAGTTTGTTGTTACACTAGTTAATTTTACTCAATAACTTGTAAATAATCTGTAAATAGCTTTACAACATATAAGAAGAATATAAACTGAAGTCTAGCATGATTAATTGCTCTCCAAACTTAGGCTTTTTAGTTTGGGTTAAACTCTGTCATTTTAGCTGAGAATCAAGTATGAGCCAGGTTCACACACACTATTTTTTTTTTCCTTATCAATTAGATTTTATTATTTTTAATTGATTTTATTTTTTAAATACATGACAGCAAAATGCATTACAATTCTTATTACACATATAGAGCACAATTTTTCATATCTCTTGTTTGTATATAAAGTATGATCACACAATTCATGTCTTCATACATGTACTTTGGATAATGATGTCTATCACATTCCACCATCATTGTTAACCCCTTGCCCCCTCCCTTCCCCTCCCACCCCTCTACCCTATCTAGATACTGCCCCCCCCTATATTTTTATATATTTTAATACTGATTCATTTAGACACTGGTATAGTTTAGATATTAGGTGTTCCCCAAAAGCTGATGTGTAAGAAAACACAAGAAAGCTTAGAGGTAAAATGAGACTAATCAGTTCATTAATTCTCGGATAGGGATTAATTTGGTGGTAACCATGGGCAGGTAGCTTGGCTGCAGGAGGTGGGTTCCTGGGGGCATGCCTTTGGGGTATATATTTTGTCAACGGTGAGGGGAGTATTGCTTCCTAGTGCTTTCCTCCACAAAGCCCATCTGCCAAGTTCTGCCTCATCTCATACCCCAGGGAATAGAGGTGGCCATCTATGGATTGAGACCTCTGAAACTGAGCCTCCAAATAAACTTTTCCTCCTTTAATTGTTCTTGTCAGGTCTTTTGGTTATAGTGGTGAAAACAGAATCTTTTAGTGTTTTGATAAAATCATATTTTAACTATTCTATAAATATATATACTATAAGTTTTCTGAGGCAAATATACTATGTAGAAAAAATAGATAATTTAATTTATTATAGGGCAATATTTAGCTATGGAAAAATTTTTAAGAAATTCTGCTAACCTTTAATTAGTGTTTCAGGTAAAATGAGTACAGAAGTTTGAAGAGAATATATTCTCTCTCTTCTTAGATAATATTTATGTTTGAAAAGACAATATCTTTTACTAATAAAATTTTCACACCATTGACTTTTGATAACTGAAGGAAGAAGGAAATAGAAATCATTTAAATGTTAAATATATTTTTGTTTTGACAACTCAAACTCACATATTCATGGTTCTATAGTGGTTTTAATGGTTTCTTCTAGGAATGTTCTCAGACTTCTTTGGGAAAAAGCAAAAAGCAAAAAAAAAAAAAATGCTGAACTCAATTTGTGAACTAAAATGATATGTCATTATAAATTTACAAGATAAATGGCAACTCACAAAATAATCTTCTAAGCAAATTTAAAATTACGTACAATCTGAAGATAACAAATATTAAAACTTATGTACAAAAAGTTATAAACCACGTGGAAAAATTAACCACAAAATGGAAAAATATTTGCAACATATAATAGAAAAGGTAGGTTCTTTAATTTATAAATTTTATAAATCATTAAAAGAAAATTATATACAATAGAAAAATAGGTCCAATAATATTAATAGGCAGTTTTCTGAAAAAAAAAAAGAAAGAAAAACAAATGGAATCATACTTACCTTTATTCATGATTAAATAAATGTAAACAATCTTATTTTTCAACTATGAGAACGGTAAACACAAAATATCCTGATAATACACAGTGTTGGAAAATAGCATTTGATAGGAATGTTAACTGAAACAACTTTTTGGAGGGTAATTTTGTAATACTATCAAGCTTTATGCTTGCATATTTTGGAAATATAATTTTATAGCTTGGAATCTACCTCAAAAATTACAAGATGCATGTTCAAAATACTTAATGATCAATCATTGGTAATAACAATAAAAGGTGATTTAAATACCTATAAACTTTATTTAAATTATTAAATACCAAATTGACTCAATATTATTAATAATTAAATAATAAAATAATTTTGTGGTTCTGGGGATTGAGCCCAGGGGCATTCTACCATGGAGCTATATCCCTAGCCATTTTTGAAACAGGGTCTGGCTATATTTGGGAGATGCTAAGACTTGAACCCAGAGCCTCTACCACCAAGCTACACCTTCTACCCCACAACATATATCTTTAAAAAGTTCTGTGATAAAATCAAATGATATTTTGGAGAAATGAAACCACATGAATAATTGCTTATAAGTTCAATCATTCAATAGTAGTTATGGTACATAATTCATATCATCCACCACGGAGAAGAAACAATGATTTCAAAACAATAATTTAAAAAGAATGGGTTTTCATCCTTTATTTCTTGATGCAAGTTTTAAATTAATTTTAAAATAAAATCCAATACCATAGTATAACTACTTTGTTTTTTACTTTCAAGAAACTTTTAGCAAATATTTGAAGTCATGGTAAAGAATCTTAAAGATAACATTATGCTTGGTACAATCACTTAAGAAAACAATGTGTCACTGTCTATTTAAGGGGTATACATGCCTTAAAAACTAGTAATGCCTTCCTTCCTAAATACACATCCTATCGAAACATATTTACCCTGACACTTGTATAAAAATGTTCACACATCAGTGTTCACAACAAAAACAAAAGCTCACAGGAGATGAGACCTCAGTGGTAAAGTAAAAGGCCCTGGGTTTGAACCCATCCCTACAAAAATATAAAATAAAAATAAACACAAAGTGTATCCTGGAAACCATAAAAGTATTGATTAACAGTAATTATGGTACAGAAATACAAGGCTATATCATGAAAATAAATACACTACAACACAAATGCCTGAGTTATTGGCATAAACATATGCTGAATAGAAAAAAACATACAATATGAACCCATTTATTTACTGTGTTTTGGGATGAACAGTAAAATCAAGGCACAACCATCATAAACTTTCCATGAGTAGAGAAAAAGTAGGGACTTTTGGGAGTCCTCACGAGTTTCAAGACCTAGATGGTGACTTATATAGGTGTTTGCTTTATAATTTCCACCAAAATGTACATATCTGTTCTAAACATGTCTCTGTATATATGTTACATATCATAAGAAATAATACCAGATAGGGCAGGGGGACAATAACCCAGTGATAGAGCATGTGCCTAGTATAAATACACATTTATGTAAATATATAGTGTATATATGTATATAACAACAAAAATAAAAATTAAAAAGTCAATATGAATGGTTCACAAAGAAAATATTCTATAATTCCAAGGGAATCATCCAAGGAGTCATTAATAGGCTTGCAGAATGAATTCTAAGATTTAGGCATTTATAATGCAAAAATAAGGTATAGGGAGACTAAATATGGAACTCTGTCCAAATGATTATGGATTAAGATCAAGTACCAGTCCCAGGAACAGGTTTTATATTTAGGTAAGAATATAGAATTTCTTTTTTTTTTTTTTTAAAACTATTAATAGTTTTATTTAAATTATCAAATTATTTTTATAACACAATAACCTTGCATTAAAAACATCTCAATAATATGACATCAAAGCTTATATTTATATAAGGTAAGCACAAAATCTGAGGGACAGTGGGAAGTATCAAAAGAGGAGAAAGTAGAGTGGTACTTAATTTTCACAATTTTTGAGGTTCTTATGGAGGATACTTCTTTTTAATTTACCTTCTTCCAGATCAGGAAAAGGCCTATGGGCAGTTGACAAAATTTGATCACTCACTCAATGAAGAATATTGAGGTCTGAAGCATGTAGAAATATCTCAAAGTGGAAGAGATGTTGATTTGCCTTTTACCACTCACACAAGGGCTGCTATCTTTCTTGTGAACACTTAGGGTCCATTGTAATCAGACAATATCTTCTTAGTGGGACTCTTTTCTGCAGTTGAGAACATTCACCATATGTGTAGATTTTATTGAGTGCCTAAAAAAATTTGCCACTTTGAGGCTGGGGATGTGGCTCAAGCGGTAGCATGCTCGCCTGGCATGCGTGCGGCTCGGGTTCAATCTCAGCACCACATACAAACAAAGATGTTGTGCCCGCCAAAAAAATTACAATCTTCATCCCCTCTGAATTAACAGATTTGAATCCACTTCCACTGAATTTATAAAACAGGTCAATCTTCACCCCTCGGGGTAGACCTCAGTGGAACCTCCAAATATGATACTGCCAGTTATCGGTGACGAGTCCTGCTTCCCCACATGTTGAACTTGGAACATTAGAGAAGCATGCGGAGGCAAACATATGAAGCAGAGTTTATTTAAAAAGAGGTAACATAGACTTCTCCCGTGAGGGAGAAAGGGGCCATAGGTGGTAACGCGGTATCCCCTAGAATTTCGAATTCTTATTTCATTATGAGATCTTTAACATTTATTCCTAAATTAGATAAGGGTCATTCTTTTTCAAGGATATTACATTTCATGATAAATTTATTTAATAAATTATAAATGCTCTTAAGCAATCATATTATACATCCTATCATCATTACTCCTATCTATGTAGCCTATACAGAAAGAACAAGAGATTTTTAAAAGTATAAGACTATCAAGAGGATTAAAATAATCTCCTTAAAAAAATATGGTAGTGTTGGTGGAGTAGAATATAATTTTAGAATTATTATTGTGTACACACACACACACACACACACACCTAATTTTGTAAGGAGAAAATTCTTATAAAATGTTAGCTATGTATTAATTTTCCCTTAACTTATGTAGGTACATTTTTAATTCCATGTTCAACATAATTATCATTTTAAAATATTTTATAATCCTTTAAAATAGAGGTTTCTACCCACTGGCAGTTCTCATGACCATGGGGGCTTCCTGAACTCTATGGGTTATGGCTGGCCACAGGATTATGAGGTAGAAAGCTGTATTTTCTGTCCAAAGCCCTGGGTTCAATCTTTAGCACCAAAATAACAGCAGTAACAACAATCAAAACATTTTATTTCCCAATCTGGTATGCATACCCAAATGTCTTACTTTTGGCATATACGATTAAAATGTCATTGCACATCTGTTAGTGTGTGAGTGTGTGAGAAAGAAAAAGAGAGGGAGGGAAAGAGAGACATAAGCTGCTTGTTTTCTACTCTCTAGTTCCTTCTTCCCACTGATTTGAAAACAACAACAAATGAAGGCTTCCGTTTTTTTTTTCCCATAAAAATTAGGGGATAAAAATAAAAGCATAAAATACATAGATATTTACTTATATGATCTTGTGATAACAAAAGCCTCTCTAAGCATTGCTATGAAAAGTAAGAATCATAAAGAAAAATAAAGAAAAATACCTAGATAGTTTATGGCATTTTCTAAATAATTGCATGTCAATATTATGATGAACAAACTTACAATGCAACTAACAAACTGGAGAAAACCATTTCAGTGTAAGGTTTATGTTTGTAATACATAAGATATTCTTAAAAATGGTTAAAAAGAAAACACCAGAAAAATGGTAAAGGATTTTGTGTTAACACTGATCTTTGATTACAAGCCAAAGAACCCAAATGTTTAAGTAAAACAGTGAATTACTAGGAGAATATGGAAAAGCTAAAAGGAAGAAGAACCTTATGCAGAAAGGATAAGAGAAGTAGTTTCAGAGGGTCCTTGTATCAAGACAACTGTGTAGTCTTTCCTGAATGTTGTTACTAAAAATAAATAGACAGGATTCCACCTCTTGGGTCCCCTTCTTCCTCTGGGAGAAGTCTTTTCTGCTGTCCTTTAATAAACTTCTAATAAAAAAAAAACAAAATAAATAAATAAATAAATAAATAAATAAATAGACAGTACCTTGGAAATAGACTGAGGAAGGCAATGATGAACAGAAACTTTGCTAGCAAGTGTTCCCAGGAGATATATCTCTAAGGAAAGGAGGAAGAGTAGGACTGGGTAGGGGGAGAAGCAGACGCACAGGATACAAATAAAGCCTCATCCATTCTCATAAGGTGCTTATGCTGGAATGGCCCTTTAGAGTTGTCCCAAATTGAGTGGAGGCCCTTTGTATTTACCATCAACCTGGCAGGCAGTTCCTTTGTGATATAAGAAGCAAGATAAAAGGAGCTAACAGTCCCAACAAACAGACTTGATTTCTGACTTTGCTTCTAACACCTGAAATTCAAAATGTTTAAAAGAGCCAGATTGGTTCATTTTTTCATGCTCACAATTTGGCTGGAACAGGCAAGTTACAGAGAAGTAATTCTTCATCCTATTGAAAAAACAATAACTAAAAAAAGAAAATTGCACATTCTTACCAAAACAAGACAGGATACAAGTGAGCTTTCCATGATACAGCAAAGGTCTACTATAAACATCATCAGACAATTTAGAAATAAAGATATATAAATGAATAATAAACTTTTTAATTTTTGAGACAAGTTCTGTTTCCCAGGTTGGCCTCAAACTCCTGGGCTCAAGCAATCTTCCCATGATAGCCTTTTGAATAGCTGTGACTACAGTGAGTACCACTAAGCTTGGCTAATAAACTTTTAAAGGTATGTCTTCATTAGCAAAGATCTGAAAATGAAACTATCTTTGGATAATAAAATTGAAAAGGACCAGCCAGTTGTGGTAACACATACTTATAATCCCAGTGACTAGGGAAGTCGAAGCAGGAGGATCTCAAGTTTGAAGTCATTCTCTTCAACTTAGTGACACTATATCTCAATAAATAAATAAATAAATAAATAAAAGGACTGGAATGTATGTAGCTCAGTGGTAAAACACCCCTGGTAACATGGCTCCCTGGTCGCAAACCTATGCCACCAGTCCAATGGACCCTGTGAAGAAGTGGCATCAGAGTGAATTAGTGGAGCAGCAGAGCAAAACCTGTACGAGCCGGAGTGCAGGCCTGAGGCACAGTGGGCTTGAGGCATGTTGGACCAGTACTGCAGTTGAGCCAAGACACACCAACCTGTTATACAGCCATGGTTTGGCCCAGCCACACTGCTGTAGCTCCAGACATTCAATTCAGCATGCAGGATTCACCGACTTCCCAAGAAGCTAGGAGAAAATGGAAGGCAAACTTGAATGGGATTTAGGGCTAATAGTGTGTATACGTTTACAAACACTAAGTAAGCAAATTTGTGGATCAACAGCATTGCTACATTTTTCAAACCCTGATTAGCATAAATTTGGACCAATAACATTGACCCATGTGTATATAAACCCCTAGACTAGCATACTCAGCTAAAACCCCTCTTGGGTCCTCTCTCACCTTGTGGGAGTTCTCTTTGAATGTATAATAAATCCTACTCTTATACTCACTCATCCAGGTCTTTGGATTTCATCTTTTGAATTCACTAAAGAACAGAGAAAGGAGGAATTGATGGTGAGTTTCTAGGGTTTGCTGCAACACTAGAGGGCATGGCCTGAGTGTTAAGAACTAAAGCACACTTCTTGGCTTAAAAAACCAGCAGCTTGTGCAGACCCCAACTGCCAGGAGAAGCAGAGAAATTCCAGTTTCACTGGATTCAATCTCTAGGACCAAACAAACAAAAAAACGTCAGGCATGGTGGTGCAAGCCTGTATTTCCAGCTGCTAGGGAGACTGAAATAAGAGGACCCTGAGTTCAAAGCCAGTCTCAACAATGGTGATGTGCTAAGCAATTCAGTGAGACCCTGTCCCTAAATAAAATACAAAATAGGGCTGGGGATGTGGCTCAGTGGTTTAGGGCCCCTGAGTTCAATCACTGGTAACCCCCCCCATCCCCCCAAAAAAATTGATGAAAGAGTAAGAAAGATCTTACTCAAATCTGTAGGAGGGTAGAAGACAGGCACTTTAAATACAAGGCCAATAGAAGGTCAAACTGATAAAACTTTTCTGAAAATCCAGTTTGTAACATATGCCAAGTTTCAAAACATACATACCCTGCAATTGCACCTGTAGGAATTCATTCTAAGGAAAAATCAGTTAAGAAGAAAGACATAAGAATGAGGCATGATGGTGTATGTCCACTCCAGCACTGGGGAGGCTGAGAGAGAAGGATTACTTGAGCCAAGGAGTTTGAAACCAGTTGGGCAACATAGTAACACTCTCAATAATTAAAAAGATAAATAAATAAACAAAAATCTGTATATCCACAAAGATATTCAATGCATTTCTTGATTTTATTTGTAAAGGAAAGAAACATTTTAAAATAGGTGATATAGTCAGTAAATTATGATAATTCTAAATCATGAAGCAATATTATGAAGCCATTACAATCATGCATGTAGAAGATATTTAACATTATATATGAAGATATTCATGTTATTGATGTTTTAAAAATTACAAAACATACAATAATTTTATAATACCAAGACCAAAAGGTAGATGTTATTTTGAGGCAACAGCATTATTTTTTTCCTCTTTGCTTTTTTCTTGACTTCTACATTAAACATGTATTACTTTTATAATTAGAAAAATATTATAAATAATAAATATCTGATTAACTTCTTATAAATATAAATATAAAAAATTTTATAGAGATTTTAGAATTTTGTTTTCAGCCACTGGTTATAAGAGGTGGACTTTTAATTAAAACCTGTTAATACAAAAAAACTTTGAGTATCAGAAGAGCTAATACTCAGGGATATATTTAAGTTTTATTTAAGGGTTTTTTTTTGTTTGTTTTGTTTTGGTATGTGGTATTTGGAATTGAATCTAGGGCCTCATATGTGCCAGGAAAGCAGCTCTACCACTAAACTATATCCCCGGTCCATTAGCCCAGTGTTAAATAAAAACAATTTGTTGAATTGTGAAAACTTGTCTTTACCTGTTAAATCATTAGTTTGTTTGTTTGTTTTTTAAACTGGAATATTGAACCTAATAGTTTTGGCCCACATTTAAAGGAAGATTAAATTACTTGGAAAGGGCTCAAAACAAAGTAATAAAAATAATTATGTACTTAGAAATTGGGCTCCATAATGACATGCAAGAGAAATAATTTCAAACTAAAAATTACCTTACATTTTATGGGTTACCATAATCTCTGAAGAATAAGAAGCAAGAAAATTTTAATTGTTTTAGCAATGATTTAGGTTAGCCATTAGGAAGAATTTCACATTCTTAAGTAAGTATTTGAGTGATCATTATATATCCAATGCTATGCATGTAAAAACATGTAACCATCAAACTATTACTAGGGAAAAAAATTTCTTTTCTTAAAAAAAAAGTGTCAAAAATAGAGTAACTATTCTTTTTTTGGTACTAGGGATTGAACCGAGGGGCACTCTACTGCTGAGCTACTTAAAAAATTTGTCTTAGCACTATTTCTTTTGTGAATTAAATATTTAAAGTTTTGAATATTCATTTAATGTTATGAACAGTAGGCCTTACCATGTGTCAGGCACTAAATTTTGAGGATAATAATCATGTAATCCTATAACTTTACAAGGCCCCTACTGTTATTGTCCTCCATTTTACAGATATGAGAACTGAGGCACAGAAATCACACTAGACCACAGTCATGTAACTAGTAAATAGTGAAGCTGAGATTTATAACTTTTTTTTTGAGAGAGAGAGAGAGAGAGAATTTTTAAAAAATATTTATTTATTTTTTTTTAGTTTTTGGTGAACACAACATCTTTCTTTGTATGTGGTGCTGAGGATCGAACCCGGGCCGCAAGCATGCCAGGCGAGAGTGCTACTGCTTGAGCCACATCCCTAGCCCTGAAGCTGATCTAAATAATCTGGTGGTTGAGTTTGAGTTTGTAACCAACAGCTACTATGTAAAAGTATTTACTTTATATATTAATATTTGATAAATTGTGAACTTTAAAATTTCTAAATGTTCACAGCCTATAGTTAGAAGTACAAAAATAAATCAGTACAGAAGGAAAATAACTTTCTAAATACAGAACTTAAGTTGAAAGAGATTTCCTTGACTAGCTCTGTGACAAATGCATGTGTAGGTGGAAATGGGGAATGAGGAAAGAAACTATGTTTATTTTAAATGCATTTTCATGAACTTACAATTTGAATAAGCAATACATGACAAATTTGAATTAAAAACAAACTCAGGCTGTCTTTTTTAAAAGACATAATTTACAAATGTTGAGTTTACATATTGTGTAGAGAAAAAAGCATAGTAAGGTTTTGATTAATGATTGATATCATGACTGACTGACTGTGATTTTCAATTAAAGAATGTAACTGGGACAGGTAAAACAAGTTTCTCTAAAGTAACTTTTTTCACGATAAGGATGACCACTTAATTTCTCAAGGGAAATACAATTGATTTAATTTGTGCTGAATGCCAGTTAGTAAAAATGGAAATGGTTACTAGCTAAGCACTGTGGCAGGAGCCTTAATCTCAGTGACTCAGCAGGCTGAAGCAGGATAGTCCTAAATTTCAGGCCAGCTTCAGCAATTTAGCAAGGTACTTGGTAACTTACAAGACCTTGTCTTAAAATGGAAAATACAAAGGCCTGGGGATGTGGATCAGTGGTAAAGCACCCCTTCATCCAATCCCCAGTATCTAAATAAATAAATACAAAACCATAACCAGGCAGAATGGCAGCACTAGTGTCTTAAATAAAACATACCGCTTAAACAAAAACAAAACAAAAACCCTGCACATCAGATTGGACAGGGCTGAGTTGGGGAAAAGAGGGAATGGGAAAGACAGTAGAATGAATTTGGACATAATTTTCCTATGTTCATATATGAATACATGACCAGTGTAATTCTACATCTATATTACCTCAAAAATGGAAAATTATACCTCATGTATGTATGACATGTCAAAATACATTCTACTGTCATATATAACTAAAAAGAACAACAAACCCTCCTGATTTTAAAAGTTCTATGTGGTTTTGAACCTTACATGTTTTAATGCTGCAGATATGAGAATCTGTAGATCTAAGTTAATTTACATCTTTAGGATATTCTATCATGTGAAATAAGAGCTTTAGAATAACAACTACCTAAGTCCTGTCTAGTACTAAAATCTAAGTATATTAAATACATGGTACTAAGTTCATCAATACATATACGGTCAAATGCTGATCTTTTTATGCTTCTTGGCCAAATATAACACTGCTGATTCTATTTCCATGTGCCTTTATATGGTTTTCTTATCTTTTTTTTTTTTTTTTTTGGTACCAGAAATTGAACCCAGGGGCACTTTACCATTGAGTTACATTTCCAGGCCTTTTTATTTTTTAGACAGGTTCTTGCTAAATTGCTGAGGCTGGTCTCAAACTTGCAATCCTCCTGTCTCTGTCTCTGGAGCTGCTGGGATTACAGGCATGCCCCACCACACCCAGCTAGTTTTCTTATCTTTTAAGGCAGTTACTTTTGTCTGTCCTTTGTGGGTCTTAAACCAGAAATGTTGGAATTACTTTTTTACTTAGCCAAGATTTCCATCTTTCAAATGGGATCCTCTGATTTTCTTCATAATTTATGAAAATTATTATAAATTATTATGAATCAATGCTTTTGCCCAGTATTCAGGACATAAATTTTCTAGAAATGTTAGCTGCTATAATTATCACTTTATGACTAGATTAACAAAAATTGTGTCCTGCCGTATCTTGCTTAGTCTTCCTCCTCCACTCTTCAGTCCACAATTTATAGAGAGTTTCAGTAAAAGTAAATCTGAACATGTGCCCCTCTATCTCCTTGGAAACCCATTAATAGTTTTATGGGGCTTTTAGAATAAAGACAGATTTATCTCTTACTACATTTGCCCTGTAATTCCTATGCTTTGACCAAAGTGACTTCAAGATCCTTATACACCATATTCACTCCATGAGGACTTTTGTCCACACTATTTCCCTTGTTTGAAACCTCCTGCAAGTTACAGTTTGGTGCCAAGTGTCCTTCAGACCTCTGCCAAAAAGTCACTTCATTCCTAAGTCTGGACCATTTTGCATTCTCTTTGTACCATGTTCCTCTCTCCTAGAATTTTTCAGTTTGCAATTATATATTTATTTGAATGAATATTTACTATTATTATACATTTGTGTGCTTCCACCAAAAGACAATGCCAACCGAGTTCCTGTCCTTCTTCCCAAATATGTTCCTCTTACCTTCTATTCCATCTCAGAAAAGAGCAATACTATTCTTCCCTTGAATTCTTTCACACTCCACATCCGTCAGCAAATTCTAGTCTCCCCAGAATTCAAACATTCACTTCCCTTCCCACTGGACATTCTGTAGTATAAGCATCACTTTCTGGATTGTTGCAATACCTCTTAGCAAATCTTGCTTCTTTTCTTGCCTTCACCACTTACTTTCTTGCCTACTTTCAACATGGCAGTTAGACAGATCCTTTAAATACAATCATGTGTCACTTACCTATAGAGATACATTAGGCAAAATACATTGTTAGGTTATTTTGTTATGTCAGTCATCAAAGTATAATTTCCAAAACCTAGATGGTATATTTGCTACATACCTAGACTATGTGAAATAGCCTTTTGCTCCTAGGCTAAAAACCTGTACAGCATATCAGTGTACTAAGTATTCTAGACAATCGTTAATACAGTAGTGTCTGTGTACATAAACATATCTAAACATAGAAAAAATACATTAAAAAATTAGGACAGGAATTTTTTTTTGAAACTCTATTATGTTTGTGTGGCAATATCTTCCTAAAATGTCATCATCCAATACAAAATTTTGTCAGTTCACTTCATTCTTTTACTGAAAATCTTGTACTTGCCATGTGTTCTGGACTCCAAACATATTGGAGCCCTACACCCACAGACAAGACAGGTGGAGGCAACCATTTTAAGGTTATTTTAAAGTTGAATGAGGTTATAAGGGTGGAGCCCTGATCCACTGGAACTAATGTCCTTATGTGAAAGGGAAGAGGTACCAGAGCTTTCTCTCCATTAGGTAAAGATACCCTGAGAGGACTGTCTACAAACCAGGAAACTAGCCTGAAGCCAATCATAGTGGCATCCTAATGTTGGACCTTCCAACCTCAAGAATTGTGAGAAAACAAATTTCTTTTGTTTAAGCCACCCAATCTCTAGTCTTTTGTCAGGGAAGCCTGAATTGACAAACACATTATTGCACTCAGAGAAAAGCCAAAGTATATCCAATAGCCAAAGAGGTCCTACACATCTCAAGTCCCACATTCTCAAACTTCCCATTTTTTAAAGCAGTTCCAGTCAAGCTGGCCTACATGCAATTTCATGAACATTTCAGACATGCTCCCACATTTGGGACTTTACCTCTGCTTGGAACAATCTTTCCCAAATATTATCATTCACATCCTTACTCAAATGAATCCTTCTCAATGAAGCCGTTCTATGTAAAATTTTACCATTCTCTATCTCACAAATATCCCATTTCCTTCACACTCATTCCTCTGATATAGGTTAGTTTATCTATTAGTTCTCCTTCACTGGAATGAGCTCCATGAGAAGGGACTGCTTGCTTTGCTTAACTCCAAATCCCTCAAACACAGAGCAGCTCTTAGTAGGTGCTCAACTTTTGTTCAATTTAATTAATGCTGAACTCCAACAGCCACAAATCAGCTTTGGAGCGGAATGCTACCATACAGACCAACTACTAGGGCAACAAGTACCCTAGTAGAAAACTGCACAGCTAAAATGACCCCCTGATCTTTGGCCTCTTCTGGGTTCCTGCTAAAGTTCAAGATGGGCTTTAGAAACACTGGCTCCACAATCCAAGAGCTTTTTTTTTTCTATTTCCCTCTTTAAAATACAGATAATAAAATGATCTGATAAGTTATCAAGGTCAAATAAGATCATGGCATGACCATGTTTTGAAAATTACCTGGTTGCTTTTATTAGCAGTATTTTCAGTTTTACAAACTCTGAAACTAAAAAAGGTTCAAGCTTCAAGGGCTCACAAGATGGGTATTTATCCCCATAACTAAAATTTAAAAATATGGAAATACAATAAAAACATAAATAAAAAGACAAACGATCAGAGGAAGCCAATTTTGCCACTTATTGTTTTTACTTGGGGCGTGAGTAGACTATTGGTTAAATATGGATTCCAATGTTAAGAGAAGTTGGAAAATAGTTACGTTTCTCTATTTTTTAACATAAAAAAAAAAGGATTCCAGAGCAGAAGTGTACCATAATGTTTGTTAAAACTTGAGTTGATTCTTCACAACCCAAACCATGTAGAAACGTGCTTTACAGGAATATTACTGTAGTCAAGGTACTGAGAGCTAAGCGCCTATCATTTAAATATCGCCTTTAAACAATACACAACTAAGCTCCTTTCTCACCTTCAGATATCAGTCTTTAAAATAAAAGTGTAGTCGTCGGAAATGTGGACACACCCTCTGCATCACGACTGGAACTGATTCTAGTTATGCAAATCTAACTGCCTGGCTGCCTGAGTGTCAGACTAAGAGGCCTCAAGGAGGGAAGCTGCCTCTCCTCAAGTTCAGGCCACGAATGAGAGCGTGGCGTGGCGGCCAGCCAGAACTCCGAGAAGGCATTGCAGAAGACGCACCAGCCCGCGGGCCCCACAGGAGAGCCCCCAGCATCACCGTAGGAACCGCGGCGGCCGGCAGCGGCGGCCGGGCCTCAGGTACCACGCGCCTGAGGGGAAGCGGCTGAGTCGCCCTGCAGCATCTCGCGAGATCTCGCCAGCCTAGCCCAAGCACTGCGAGCTCAGAATTAAAAAAAAAAAAAAAAGGAAAGAAGAAGAAAAAAAGAAAAAGCGAGAAGAACCCCTGAAGCCGTCGCTGTGGTGGCAGCTGCCTTGGTAGCATCCGTGACCGGCGTGCCAGCGCCCAGACGCCGTCCGTGGCCCCCGGCGCGGGCAGTCGGCCCACTGACGCGCAGCCTTGGGGCGGGAAGACCGGGAGGCGGCCTGGGGGCCCCGCTCCTCTTCCTCGCAGAGCGCGGCGGGGGAGGGTGGAGAGGTGGGAGGAGGGCGACGGAAGAGGAGGTAGCGGCGCTGATATATTCCCGGCCACCGCCGTGAGGCGGCGTGTAGCCACGCCTGCTCCCTGGTCGCGCTGCTGGCGCTGCCGGAGGCCTGACGCCTAGGGGCCGAAAGCCACCCTCGCGCGGGCGGCTCTCGCGTGTGGTCGTGCGGGAACCCGGGAGGGCCGAGGTACCGAGGGAGCGTCCGCCGCGCGCCACTGCGGGACCGCGGGTGGGCGGGCTGAGGGGCGGAGGAGCCGCGGGCCCCGCCTCCCGCGTGCTGCAGCCGGAGCCGCCGCTGCGGCCCCGCCGAGCCTTTAAACAGCGGACCGCCCCGCGCCCACAGCACTCGCGCCTGGCTCGGGTGCTGGCGGCTGACGTGCCCGCCCTGGCGAGTGGCAGGGAGAGCAGCTTCCTCGCCTTACCTTGCAGCCACAGCCACTGCCGGCCGGGATCGCGGAGACGCTCAGCAGCCCGCAACGTTCGCCAGATTCTTCAGGTCCGCCGAGGGTCGGGCGGCGATGGAGCCGGGGCCCACGGCGCCCTCCCCCGGCGCCCCAAGGCTGGCCGGGGTCGTGGAGACGCCGCTGGCCGCGGCCGAGGTGGACTTGCCCGGCACAGCAGTGCCCTCGGTGCCGGAGGATGCTGCGGCTGCGAGCCGGGGCGGCGGTAGACTTCTCGGTGAGGGCGCTGCGGCGGCCGGGGACGGGCTGGGGAGACCCCTGGGGCCCACTCCGAGCCAGAGCCGCTTCCAGGTGGACCTGGTTTCTGAGAACGCTGGGCGGGCCGCGGCGGCGGCGGCGGCGGCGGCCGCAGCAGCCGCAGCGGCTGGAGCAGGGGCAGAGGCAGGGGGCAAGGAGATCCCAGCGGACGGGAAAACCAGCGGTGAGAGCGGGTCCGCCAAGGCTAGCGAGGAAGCCAAGGGCCGCTTCCGTGTGAACTTCGTGGACCCGGCTGCCTCCTCGTCTGCGGACGACAGCCTGTCGGATGCCGCGGGGGTCGGAGGCGATGGGCCCAACGTGAGCTTCCAGAACGGCGGGGATACAGTGTTGAGCGAGGGCAGCAGTCTGCACTCGGGCGGCGGCAGTGGTCATCACCAGCACTACTACTATGATACCCACACCAACACCTACTACCTGCGCACCTTTGGCCACAACACCATGGACGCGGTGCCCAGGATTGATCACTACCGGCACACTGCCGCGCAGCTGGGCGAGAAGCTGCTCAGGCCCAGCCTGGCAGAACTCCACGACGAGCTGGAAAAGGTGAGCTCTCCCCGCCTCCCATCCTCTGGTGCGTGCTGACCGCAGGATGTGGCCACCGACTCTCTCGGGTGAGGTGGTGGGAATGGACAGCCTGGCTCGCTGGCATCTCTGGATTCAGCTGTCAGGGGTGGAATTGCAGTGGAATGTAACTTAATCTCTTAAAAGTTTGCAGCGGGTTAGGCTGGTTACGTGATACTGGAGAGGGCTGCGTTTAGTTTAACAACCTTCCCGGTCCAGTTACGTCGTGTACACTGTCTTTCTCACCCATGCTTGACAATTACCACCTCACTGAGTTTATAGTTGTGTTTGTGGGCCCTGCGAAGGGAGTGTGCAGGAGGTTTAGGTGAGGACCTCTCTGGGGAGAGGGCGGAGAGCACCTACCATCTGTGTCTTTTTAGATTGTAGCGTATGGCTTATGTACACCCATTAGAGAGCCTATGAGCTGTGGTGTTTGAAGGAAAATCTTAATAGGGTGTGTTTGTGGTCTATGAATTATTAAGCTCAAAATTTTGCAATCTTGAAAGTTCAGAGGATTATAGGAATCTTGACTCTTGGGATATGACAGTCCTAATAATGGCACAAATTAATTTTTTTTTGTAAACCTTTTGGAAGAGTGCTCTATATCAGAAAACTTTGACAAACAGGCAAGTCATTAAAGAAAACGGCGTGGGGTGGGGTGCGGTGGCTGGGACAGAAGAATTGATTTTTCTCTGAAGAATGCTCAGAAAGACCATCTGGAGTGTTTGCACAAGTGATCATACTTGGTAAAGAGAAAACTGTCCCCTTACACTTGTGAGTGACTTCAGTAATTATATTTTTTAAGAGCCCATTAGACATGTTTCTTCAAGGTTCAAAACCATTATTTTGAAATAACATTGATGCTTTTGACACTCGGTTAATATTTAACATTTTTTATGGGTGGGGATTACTTGAAGTCTGCCCATGCAAGTCTATAACGACTACATTGATGGAATTTGATGTGGGCAGAGTTGGTACCACATAGATTGAAATGATCATTGTGTGGAAAAGTTTAAATCTATTAAGTGTGTTAAGTGTGTGATTTCTTTTTGACATGATTATTTGATTGCATATATTTATTTCATACAAGACTGGACTGGTCCTAATGTAAAAGTAATATTCACAATTTGACAAAATTGCATAGGTCCCATCTCTGACAGCTTATTGATTATTTAAAAGCCTGACATCATTTAGGTTTAGATAATACTATTTCTGTTGTTTCATTGTGGTATTTTGTCATCAAAAGCAAAACAATTTCTAAAACACTTCTTTAAGTGTTTAAACTTCTGGAGTTTATTTTTTCAAATCTTTTTTCAGCACTTCAAATCTGTGTTAATAACAATAGATATGGGGTTGGTAATATTCCTTTTCTTAGAGCATTTTTGCTATTGAAAATATAATACAAATATGTTTCAGATTTATTTAACCAAGTTCAAGTAGTTTAGCAGTCAAGCCAATCTGTATTTAACCCATAAATTCTAGGAAGACTTTAAATTGGAAGTTTTTTTTTTTTTTTTTTTTTTTAATTTAAAACTCTGCCACTAACAAAGCACTTTAGGTTCTTCAAGACTTTAGTTTTATTTTGAAGTTGTATTTGCATTTTTGTTTTTGGCATTTTTGTTCATCTAAAAAAGAGAAGACTTGTGCTGTTATCTGTATGATAGTTTAAAAATTTATCCAACCCCTCAGCCTTGGATTCCTCAACTAGGGAAAAAGTGCAATAAAAATAGAGGGCCACGTTCAGCACCTGAAAATAATGGCTAGTGCAGTTTTTGTTCCACTCATATTGGCCCTTCAAAAAGGGCAAAATTTAAACTCTATATATCAATATTATATTATCTTAATTACTTCATTTTTAGATGAATATGTATATTTATATCATACATACACACACACAGATTTTTTTTTTTTTTTTTTTTGAGACAGAGTAAGTTGGGACTGGCCTTGAACTTTGTAATCCTCCTGCTTAGCCTTCCAAGTCATTGGGATGAATATATTATATAAAATGTTAAAATTAGGGTTTGCTTTATGCAACAGGTAGTATGATCAATTCTTTAGTTTTCTTTATTTTCTTTTTTGGTACCAGCTCTTTTTGTTTTGAGACAGGATCTTGCCAAGTTGCTTAGGGCTTCATTAAATTGCTGAGACTGGCTTTAAACTTGCGATCCTCCTACCTCAGCCTCCAGATCCCCTGGAATTAATAGCATAAGCCATCCTGGGCTAATTTTTTTAGTTTTTTTTTTTTTAAACCTTCTTTTGCATATGCTAGGCAAGCATTCTACCACTGAACTACATCCCCAGTCCCCAATCAAGTTTCTTTCTGGACTCTGGAAGAAGTTGGTAGGGTTAACTTAAACACATATTGAAGATAAATTGCTTAGAATTTTAGCAGATGGGTTAAAGAAATAGGTGTGATATTAGGTAGTACAAATATGCCTATATACCACTGTTGAAGGGGGGGCAGGCAAGGCAGTGGTGATAAATTGGGTTGGCTAGATCCCTAAAAGTTGTTTCTACTCTGTGTAGATTGACTTCTATCTCTGTAAAACCATCTATAATGTTTCCATTCCTTAGTGAACTATAATATTTAGAATTTCTGTAACATTTAATTCTAGCTTTTGATTGATTGTTAATACTCTACTTTGGTCACTAAGTGCTTTAGTATCTATCATGGGTCTAACTCTGTGCTAGGAACTATGGAAGAAGTCAAAGGTAAGTGCTCCAAAAACTTGTTAGGAAAAAGAATTATATTGTCTTTCACTTGAATTTCTTTCATTACTCAACACTGACCTTTTAAAAGTATTTTGCCCAAATGTCCAACTGTAGAGGAACAAATATCCTTGGTGTAGCTTGCTGTGTTAAGCAGCCATTCTAGAAACAAGACTCATGAGGTCTCTCTTTTATCAAATATTATTTTGGGAAAGGGATGTGTTAGATGTTGGCTACATGATTGTGATACCATGGGATGAAGGATGATGCAGTATTAGCAAAATAGATACTGCTTCTGCCTAGACAGACATTAACCAAATAGTTTAACAAATTACATAGTTATAAATGAAATACTATGTTATAAATGAAATACCACTGAGCTACATGAAATAAAAGTAAACTTTGCTAGTGAAGATGTAATAGGACCTAATTTTAATTGGGTTTTGGGAAGGTGTAAGTGTGACATTGATGCTTGAACCTGAATGAACCTGATGACAAAAAAAGAGCAAATAAAAAGATAGATGTAAAATTGTTATATGTTCAAAGACCTAACGAGAGGCTGGTATATCTAATTATAAATGTAATAGGAAGCTATGAAGGATTATGTATGAGGGAGCAACAGGATCCATTTTGCTGGCTGCTGGGAGTAGAGTGGATTGGCAAGGGTAAAAAATGAAAGCAGGGAGACTCAAACTGTCACAGTGGTCTCATTGAAAAATAATAAGGGTTGGTGACAGAACAGATTGGATATGGCTGGCTTGGATGCAGAACAGAGAGAAGATGATTCTCAGATTTTTTTGAACTTGAATAACTAAATAGGTAGTGGTATTGTTGCCTGAGGTGGGAGAGATGGGAGGAAGAATAGATTTGGGGTGATGGACAGAAAGAATTGTTTGAATAGACTCTAAGACATCTTATTAAAGAGTCATTGGGAGGAGGAAGGCAAAAAAAAATTATATACGTACATATATATATCTGCCTCTCTCTTCTATTTCCATATATATTCTTATTCATCAAATCCTTAGAGAGTGTATGTGTACATGTGTGTATAGATTTAAAGTCATGGACAAAAAAGTATTAGGGGGAATGGGTAGGTAAGAGAAGAGAGACTGGACATTCAGAACACCTAAAGGTATGTTAGAGATTGAGCTGCCAGACCAGTGACAGATAGCTGCCTAG